ACTACATCTATCGATACAAGTATGGTAGATACTTGTACACCTCGTATCAGAATCAAAAATCGACTATCAACTCATAAGAAAATATATGATTTTCTTGGGAAACAACTTTTCAAAGAATCAAAGAAACATTTCTTTCACCGGAATTAAATGCTTATGAACTCACCAGCTTTATGCTGATATTTTTAAAACTGCTTGTATTCTCAGGGCATCAATAGACAGGTACTCTTGCCAACTTTTGGAGAAGACGAAACATTCTGAAGTCACGTCTTTTACTTTTGCTATATACTGTTATGTACAAATCATGTTTTGAACAATGTAAATATTTATATTATAATGTAATGGTTGTGTTTACTTCGCTTACTATGATACAACTATTGTGATACTACACATGACGTCACTCCTCCCCGGAACGTTTCCGCCATCGGTTTCGGGGTGTGACACACACACATACACACTGAAAGTTGATGTTTTTTGAAAAGGGAAATTTTGGAAATATAAAAAATTATTATGAAATTGATGTTATCTACATGCATTGTAGGACCAATGTACATACTGTATATTGATATTTTTGAAAAGGGTAATTTTGGAAGTATAGAAAATTGTTATGAAGTGGATGTCATGGAGCGAATGCATACACTATATGTTGATGTTTTTTTGAAAAGGATAATTACGGAAATATGAAAAATTATCGTGAAATTGATGTCATTGCACCAATGCAAACACACTGTTGATGTTTTCAAAAAGGGCAATTTTGGATTCAATATAAGTAATACACTTTGTTTTACATTCATTAAGAGCTTACAGTTTTTGTCTTTCATACTCATTCTTCATCCCTTCTATTTTTAGGGATAAATGGTAAATACAATTGCCATGATGCCTTGAACATATGTGGGGGTTTGATTATTTAATTTCCTAATAAATAATTTTAGTTAAGTAGACTGTATTCTTTTTGTTCATAATTTTAATTTTAAAAAACCAATTAATAATCCAATATGTTTGTAGTTTTTGAGGTACATTAATGTTACCATGATATTGGTGGTGCTAAAGAGTTTGGACAAGATGATTGGAACAACACAAAGAAGGTTCACGAAATGCTAACTTATGTAGTCCAGACTTTTGAAGGATATATTGGTCATTTTTGTACACTTTTTGATGTTTTTCCTTTTGTAAATAACAATTTAATTACAATGTTGCAAATAGTAACAAAAAAAACTCTTGACCCATGCGTAGCATGGGCCCCTTTACTAGTTTAGAATTACATGTCAAACAACTTTTATTTTAAATAGATTAAAGGGTAAATTACACCATTCATCCCTCGTACATGTACCAAAAAGCACGTTTAGTATCTATTTTCGAAAATTAACTTGGACCGTCCATTGGGTTGTTTTTTCTTGCACGCTTAGTCCCTAATGACATAAAATGACTATTTTATCCTTAATAATTTCTTTTACAATTTTATTTTATTCACTTATCATTCATAAATTGAAACAAAAAATGAAAAAGAAAATAAATATCTACACCCCAACTTACCCCTCCTACTTCCCTTTCCCCAACTTCGTCTCCCTCTTTCTCACCCTTCTTCCTCTCCATTGATCTGACATTGACCATCAAGAAAAACACCACCATCGAGTCATCGGTTATCGTTACCCGTGATAGCCCTAACCCCTTTCGCCCTCACATTCTTGCGTCGGTCTACAGATCCTTCGAAAAACAAGGTTAAGCTCCATGGGAGGTTTGAGATACTGATGTTTTCAAACATGGTTACACTCCATGGGAGGTTCGAGATACTGATGTTTTCAGGCACGGTGCATCCACCATTGGCGCCTCCTAATGTTGGTGGGTTGTCGTTATTTTTGGTAAGCCGAGGGGGAAAAGTGATGGGTAGGATCCTGATTAGTTACTTCAAGTCTGATGGTTCTTGTGGCGTCATTGGCGATCTTATCGCTGAAAATATGAAGGTGAAGGTTCAAAAGCCTAGGCGGTGTCAATCTGATACGATCGAGTGCATATCGGAGATCAAAGAGGGAGTATTCAGATTAGAGAAGAAGGTGGAAGGTTGTGGTTCGTCGATGGTGTAGGGTTGAGATGGTGGTGGATGTAGCAAATTCCGGTGGTAGTGGTAGTGGATTCTAATGGCTCTGTTTCTTCTTACAAGCATCACCACCATTTTCCTTAAAAAAATTTCCCACATCAATTTTCCTTCAGTCGCATCCCAATTTGCACTGAAATCGACGATGGTGGTTGTAATACCTCGATTTTCAAATTTTACATTTTAACCCTTTGAATGATATTTATTTCTAAAAAGGGTCCCATATGGCAAATTAGGAAAATGACGTGCCAACATGAGTACGCTTGTCATACTCCGACTTTGCCAAACCCTAATTATTTAGGGTTTCAGCACTATATATTCATCTTTATGTCTCAAGACTCCTTCCCCTCCTCAGCCTCCATCTGGAAAATCGTTCCTTAGCCAATCCTAATCCTCTCAAGTGCATTTTTGAGCTTTTGTGTATATTTTGGTGTCCTTGAAGGAATAAGTTAGAAGAGAAGATCATCCTTGAAGAGTGGAACACCTTGGATCCAGGATCCTACTATATTTTGACACCCTTCGGAGGTATAAAGTTCTGAACTTGATGTTGATTTCATTTGGATCTTGTTAGCCTTAGATTTGTGGTTATTTTGGTCCCATGGGCTTGGTATTATAAGTATGAGCACTCTAATCCTTTTGAGCTGTCCTTTCAGACGTTTGGGAGTGTCTTAAAGCATAAAAATGTGATATTGGATGTGATATTTAGCGCATGCATGTGTTAGAGGGTCTTATTGGGTTAAGAACATAGGGTTTTGGACATTAAGCATTCTATAGCCATGCAAAGTCATAAAGTTGGAGACTTTATGACTTAGGAAATCATTTTGGGCTTGGATCTGAGTTTTAGGCGGAAGGGCTTAATGGAATAAACTCTTAACAGAGTTTTTCCTCACTGTACTTACAGGTTGAAGGCACCAATACCGGCCTATTGGATTGATATCTTGGTTTACCGTATGTTCCTATGTTGTAGTGATCTGTTAAATCTGTATCCTGGTATATAGGATGTAGCTATGCTGGAGTGATATGTTAGATATATATCCTGGTATATAGGATGTTGCTATGTTGTAGCGATCTGTTAGATCTGTATGACTACCTGCATATGTTAGCTATTGATTGTTATGGTATATGTTGTATATGTTGATATGTGATGGTATATGGGGTTGAAACGGTCTTGCTTTGTGCCAAAGGCCAATACACCCAAGGTGGTCCAGATATACTGAAGGCCTGTGAGGGGGATCAGTTAGGCCGAAGGCCCGAAGAGCGGTACAAATAGGTTGAAGGCCCGGTGAGGCGGTCCAATCATGCTGAAGTCTCTAAGAGTGGTCCAGATAGTCTGTAGGCTTGCGAGCCGGTCTAGTCATGCTGAAGGCTCATGTATGTATGCTATTGTTGTTATGTTTGATGGGTTTTGATCCTATCTACATTCCTATGTGATCATGCAACCCTAATTGCTTTGGATCTAAGTTTTTCTCTATTGAATATATAAAATGAACACCAAAGCAATAACCCTATAGACTAGCATACAATTTTCGATTTCATGTATAAACTTGGGTTAGATGATTACCTCACTTGTTATATTGTAATAACAAGACAATCCTTGAAGTCCTTGACTCTTGAAAGCTTAGTGCCTCAAGTGTTGCACCTCTAATGGAGTCACAAACACTCAATGCAAATAATGAGTAGGAGAGATGAGTTAATCGGCCAGGGTTTGATCATACAAGCTTCGATATGAAAATCCTATGTTAAGGGGGTTTATATAGCTGCGACTGCTAGGGTTTTCAGGTGGAAACCCTAATACCTTGCTTAGGCACCAAGCAGCCCCCAGACACTCCTTTTATTAGCCCTTGGACAGAATCTATTGGGCCTCCCAATAGGATTTCATCCACTCCATACCAAAGGAGTCCAGCAGCCCAGTTTTGCAACTATCAATGATTTGCAAAATAACAACTCCATTATTAATCAGTTCCTTTAATCAGAAAATTACTATCAAATTAATTTCTGATTAATTACTAATTAATAATATGATTTCCAAATAATATATTAATCTTGTAATATATTAATAAAATCATTTTGAGTACCAGTTTCTTATTTCAAATAATAAATCCTACTCTCTGTCCACTTGTCATCCTGTCAAGTTGCATGAGTGAAGGCAACCCAAAAGGACCATGCTACATATCAAATCAAGTACATACCAATTATAGTTATGGGCTTAGACACCTAATCCAACAGTCTTCCAGTTGGACAAGTCTAATAACTATTATTGCAAGTATGACTTCAAAATCTGACTAGCAATCGTAGCTTTCAAAAGCCGTTGTCGAACTCTGATCTTATTAGTGATGCGTCGTTTAGATAAGTGATCAAATATCCCACCGTCTACAAGATATCGTATGGACATGAGACATGGATTATAATCAATCTCTGTCCAAGAGTTGCTTCCCGATTACCGATTTATGACGAATGACTAGCTGAACAAATCAGATCAGTACAGGCTTGGCCAAACGCTTCAGATGTCATCACTAAATCATCGAGGGGCCCACATATATCATTTTTATCCCATTTATGGAAAAAGGAACGGATAAAGTTCGACTCATATGCATGTACAATTCACTCAACAAATCATGCACAACAATATGTTTTATAACATGAAGTTACTGATGCGTTTACGTATTATCAATGCACAACCGACTCGTAAACAAGAACTCATATGTCTCCGTTTCAAGAATATAAGATATTATCGTCTCAAAATTACTCGTGATAAAATCCATGAAGTAATACTTGAGTGTAGGTTAGTCCAATACTCAAATTCCTATTTCAGGAGTACTCATGAACACTGCAGCAAACATTTGCTATGTCTACGCACTTAGACAATCTACAGTCGGATTCATGACAGTCCTAAAACATGTGAAGTTAAACACAAGAATAATCTAATCCAATATGGTCTCAAAACTTTTGAATATAAATAAAACACGTATTATTTAATCACCATATTAATTAGACCTTATTCATTGTATAATGTTTCGAACAATCAACTTAATACTTGAATTAAAACAATAGTCATGCCATGCTCCAAGCATGCACACTATATGTATCTATGGTCCTTTCTTTGTGAAATAGATCAATTGAACATATTTCCAATGATGCTCATTTCACAATTCCAAATCCATATCGCATGTGTAAGAATACCAAATTCTTGCCATTACTAGAATCTGTTAGAGCCTAAACTTGCATGCAATGATCCTTTTGTAATGTCTAGGCACCAAAGTCACAGAGACTTGGCCGATGATATTACAAAACATTCCATTGGATATTTGTTACAAAACAATTCCATGGAAATGAAGTCTCACATTCAAAGAGCATTCCTTGAACATCCTTCTTGCATTAAAGTTACTAACTCACACATAGATCTTAATATCCAACTCCCATAATGGATACATTTCCATATTGTCATATGAAAACCATACTAAACAGAATTCCATCTATCCAGAATTACGTCAATTATGGTCCACCCATACCATACTTCCAACTGTCCATAAGCAACCAATCTTTAGCAAACCTCAGAATGTCCTCGACAGTTGTTTAATAACTCTAGTCAGTTCCAGTCCTTTTCCTTCTTAATGCTCTAGGCTTTTGGAAATATCAGAACAGGCGAATATTATAGCATATGCAATTAATCCTATACCCGAAGCATATGGGATTCGATTTATAATGTCTTACACAAAGACATGGTACTTGACCAGTCTCTTGCTATAATATTTCCATATATAGAATTTCCTATGTTGAATTACTTCAACACGATATTCATATATGTTCATGACTATGTTCCATTAAAATTTCAATCTAAGCTTTTAGATTCGAAATGAAGTATAAATGCCCTCTACCTTAAGCCTTACTATAGCGAAATAATTTCCAAATTCTGCAACTTTGCAAATTTAGAACTTTGTTTCCTATAAATAGCATCGCTAACTTGCAACACATAACATAATAATCACGCTCCCACTAGCATAACAATTATGTTCTTACCAGCATAACAATTATGCTCCCACTAGCTTTGACATGTACTCAGAAATCAGCTGGATTTCTAGAAATCAATACCTATTGACTTTCTCACCAAAGTTCACATTTCTGATACGGGCTGCTTCGATAAGTCTTTATCTAGACTTCTCAAGCTCATACACCTTTCATTACACAGCTTATGTGTGTGTCTAAACCCTTTCAGAACTTATTGCAATAAGTCTCAAATGTTCAAACTATTTGCCATTTCTCACAATTCGAACTATGAAAAGGGATGCCGTAATCATACTCGAATTTGAGAACACAATTATCACAACTGCTAACTCTATCAATCCTTTAAAATCTACTAGTGAAAGTGTTTCCTCACAATCATTTTCATGAAGTAAAGAAACCTATTGCCACTTAGATTTTATAGTGTATGTGTTCCTATCCATGTTAATTTGTTATTTCCAACCACTATCATCAGACAAGGTTTATGACAAATTCAAACTCATATGGACTGAACTTGCTTAATCTTAATTTCTTTCCATCTGGTAGCACAAGGGCCTACCAGTGCTTCCAAGTTATTGAGCAGCTCACCTATACAAATCAATGTACTTTCACTGATCAAGGGGCTTTGCCTTATGTGATCAAATGAGAACTCATAAAACTCACATGCATGGTCTACTTAACTGGAATGGGCACGGAAACAAGAATGTGTCAACACGATAGGTTATCAACCTTAGGTTGTGTGCTAGTGATTACTAAAAGGTTTATTCTCGATTGTCTCCTGAAACTTTTCAAGATCAACAAGACTCCCACTGACTTCTTGACATATAAGATTCTCTGTCAAAGAACATTTCTCAACAAACAAATATGCATGAGTTAGTGTCGGTTCTTATCAAGAAAACACTTCATATAATTGGTCTTAGTTGGTCTTTTTTTTAACCAAAACATCACAACTACCAACTTCAAATGTGCTAGAGCAAGAAAACATTTCTA